ATGACTTGAGGTTCTTCAATGGCCCAAGAACAGGACAGTCCCTGCCCGTGGTCTGCAGTAATAGGACTAGAGGGGCAGAAGCAATTTACACAGGCGCACGGAATAGCTGGGAATCCTGGTACTACCATTCTTAATGTTCCCCATGCCCTCTCTCGATCCCCTGTTCTCGAACCTGTCCGGTTCCCCACAGCTCCTCACCATTCTCTTTTGCTGGTATCTTCTTGTGCTTCCATGTCTGGTGTCCCACTTTGCACTGTGCTCCTATCTCCCAGCAGGGGCAGTGGGAGGGACGGGGCGATCCCAGGTCCCTTACTGAAGTTGAACCACTGTCCATTCACATCTGAGTAAAGGACCCTGGCAGATGAGTTTAACGTACCTCCTAGGTCACAGGTGGAAAGCAACAGCCTCCGTGACCTAAAAGCACGAACAGTCATGTCAGACAGATCATTTGCTAGACACACCCACCTCTGGCTGCTTCCAAAAACACTACCTACGTCCCTGTGGTTGCGTTAGGGGAAAACGATTCCAAGCAGAATGTGAAGGAGGCTGAAATGGTGAGCAGTCTGGTTAACAGCCGTTCACGTTCTTTTCCAGGGAGCGTGCATTCTGAATATGTTAAGAGAGTACCTGGGTGCTGAAGCATTCAAAGGTGGCATTGTACAGTATCTCCAGAAGTTCAGCTATAAAAACACCAAAAACGAGGACTTGTGGAACAGTATTGCAAGTGTGAGTACGTTGGTGTTGCTGTGAGTGACACTGGCCGACAGGCTCAGTGCCATGTGGGTTTGCTCTCCCATCCTGCTTGTGTTGGTTGTTTTCATCATATTTATTCCTTGAAGAAGAATTTGACGTGTTCTCGGTGGAAATGAGGACACTGTGCTTCTTTTCTGCCTTTAGATCTGCCCAACAGGTGGCACCACGGAAGATGGCTTTTGTTCCAGAAGTCAGCGTCCCGCTTCCTCCTCAGTAAGTCTCTGTCCCTGTCCAAGGTACCGCCCAGCCCACCCGGTCCCCCCATGTTCTCTGAAGGCTGGCTCTGTGGCCATCTTACCGAGGCCCCCGGTTTTATCACCTGCTTCCCATAAAGACTGGGTGCCTTTAAGGCAAAGGCCGGCTGTAGTTTTCTCAAGCATCATCGAGAGAAGGGGGTTGCTGCAACCTCTTCGGTACCACTTTTCAGTGACGCACATTTCTTCACCTTCATCCTCTGTGAAGCAATGAATTTAAGACACATCTTTTTTTTTTAAATGTCATTTTATTGGGAGCTCTTACGGCTCTTATAACAATCCATATATCAATTGTGTCAAGCACATTTGTACATATGTTGCCATCCTTTTAAAAACATTTTCTTTCTACTTGAGCCCTTGGTATCGGCGCCTCAGTTTCCCCCCCTTTCCACCCCCTTCCTCCCTTATGAACCCTTGATAATTTATAAATTATTATTTTCATATCTTACACAGACCACTGTCTCCCTTCACCCATGTTTCTGTTGTGAGGTGAGGGGCTCGTTATATGTCGATCATTGTGATCATTTCCCCCCCAACCTTCCCTATACCCTCATGGTATCCATCCTCCCATTATTGTTCCTGAGGGGGTTATCTGTCCTGGATTCCCCATAAGACATGTCTTTGTGGTAGATTTAGGCTGTATTCTGTCAGCCAGCAGATGTGTCAGTCGTTTCCAGGCCTCTGCGTTTGTGAAACAAATAATTGGGGTGGGTTTTTGCTGTGAGTTGGGCACATGCCAAACACGTATGTGTATTACTGCTTTACTCTTTACAATACCCCTATGAGTGGTATCAGTGAGCTGCTGTTATCACACCCATTTTGACAGATGGGGATAGTAGATCCACACAGGTATTAGTCGATGGCAGAGTAGGGTCTTAAACTCAGCTCTCACCCAAAAAAGGAAGCCCCTCATTTTCAGCCAGCCTTCTATCAAGTCTAAGAAACATC